GCCCCCCTTGCGCGTCAGGCCTCACTGGCTGCTGTCGCCCACCTCGCCCACAGGTCGCGGGGGCTTTCCTGACCATGCCGGTCCGGTCTGTGTCCCTTGGCCTTGGTCGGCATGTGGGTACAAAGTTTAGGGTGCTGGGCTGGCCCACATGGACCTCCAAGAATGAAAAGAGGATCAAGAAATGGAGCCTGCTCCCTACGGAATTGGAGATGGCTGGCCCTGTGGCCTGGTGGCTGAGGGTGCTGGATCCCACATGGCAGGCCATGGTTCAAGTCCTGGCCCCTGGGCACATGTGCGTGCACGCTCCAAATCCCAACAGGATAGAGGGATGTTGGCAAAGGGACTTCAGTGTGACCATGGCCACGGGGGGAACTCTGTCTCTGATAAGCACACACACCCTCTGGCAAATCAGGACTTAGAAGGATCAGAGCCCTTTATGCGGAGGCGGGATGAGTGTGCAGGGCTCAGGCCGGAGCTGTGGAGAGCACTGGTGTGGACAAGCTTCTCCCTCACTGGCTGCCTTCAGCCAGGGGTGAGCGTGGGGGAGAGAACCCGGAGGTGTAGTCTGCTGCTTCCTGGGGTGTGACACCGCTAGACGGAGCCGCCCCTTGTCTGATTCAGGCCCAGAGTCTAGGCCGGGCTGGGCAAACACAGGGAGGGTGGGAGGGAGCGAGAGGTGCGCCAGTCCAGCCCTGAGCGCGAGTACCTCCCGGTGAGCCTGGCATCACGTCGACCATCCGAAACGAGGGACTCCAGGCCCGGGTCCAGCTGGCGGCTCCCATCGCCGCTCTGCTGTGCACCAGCTGTGTGACCCCAGCCAGGCCGCTGGCCCTCTCTGAACCTTCCCTTCCCGTACAGTGGGGATGGCGACACCCACTTCACGAGCTGCCAGGAGGGGAGTGCCCGGGGACTTGCCCAGTAGGGACTCCAGGGATCGGCTAATGATGGTCTTCTTGCCTTCCTGTCCCCCAGGCCGGCGGCCACCATGTTCTCGTGCGTGAGGCCCTACGAGGACCAGAACTATGCGGCTCTGAAGCGGGCCTGTCTGCGCAAGAAGGTGCTCTTCGAGGACGCCCACTTCCCCGCCACCGACGACTCGCTGTACTACAAGGCCACCCCCGGGCCCGCCGTCAGGTGGCAACGGCCCAAGGTCAGTGTCCGTCCCCGCCCATGGGGCCAGGCTGCGGGGCCTTAGGGTGGCACGAGGAGCTCCCTGGGTCACTGGCTGCCCAGAAAGTGGAGGGGGCCGGGCCCTCGCTGTGGCCGTGGGTCTGGACGGGCAGCAGGAGAGCCTTCCTAACCCCGGGGCTGCATCCAGCCAGGCCCTCGCCCCCTCTGGCCTCAGCTTCCTTAGGGAAGATGGGGCAGTGACCTGGTGTCCGTCCTGTCGCCCTCCTCTCCAGGGCCATTTGGGGGATAAACATGAGGTGATGCGACATTCAAGTGTAAGAAATGTACTTTTCTGGTGATTTCCATAATCATGTGAAATGGTCATTTGCTGTCTACCAGCATTTATGATAATGAACCCACAATAATAGCTATGTTATATGGAAGTTAAAAAATAGTAGTACCTACCTCAGGATTGTCGTGAGCATTAGAAGAGGTGATGGCAGGGCAGCAGGTAGAATGAGGTTAAAGTGCTGGATCCCACACAGCCGACTTAGCAGTTTGAGTCCTGGACCCGGCAGCTTGAAAATCACACGTGTGTGTGTGTGCCCCACATCCCAAGAGGAGAAGGGAGGAAAAGGGATTACAGTATGGCCACGCCCTCCCCCAGGGGGTGATTTCTCACCGTCCCTCTCTCTCTCTCTCTCTCTCTCTCTCTCTTTCTGGTGACCACACATACCCTATAGCAAAACAAACAAAAAAAAACTGAAGAGAGAGAGAAAGAGAGGCGATACATGACCTGGCCTGCCCAGGGCCTGCTCCCAGGACGGGCGCTATGGCTGGAGTGTGGGGCTGCAGAGACCTCCTCTCCCCGCCCTGGCTGTGATCTGCTCAGCATAAATATTCCAGAACCCTGTCCCTGAGTTTGAGGGTGTTTGTGTCCATGGGTCCTGTGAAGTGGGTGTCCCTGGGGGTTGGGGTTAAGAGGACCGGCCCTCCTCCCTGGTCTCTGCAGCTGTGCTGGGGACATGGAGAAGGTCACACAGAAGGGCCTTTAGTATAGGAGGCTGTGCTGTTCCACGATGCTCAGGGCCAAGAGGAGGCCTGGGTCCTGCTGCCCGCCTGGGGGTGGGAACACGCAGAAGAGCAGGTGGGGAGAGGAGGGAGGGCCCACAGGCTCCTGTGGGGCAGGGCCGCAGGGCCAGGTGTGGGGCCATGGGAAGAGTAGGGCCAGGGAGGCCAGCAGTCTGGGGCAGGCAGGCCTGGGCAGGGCCAAGGTACCCAAGGCTTGCTCCGAGGGCAGCGGGAGCCATGGAAGGTGAGGCTTCGGTGTTTGGCAGTGTGCCACAGGGTCAGCTCACGTTTGAGTTCCCTCTGACCCTCTGGACTTTTGGGGACAATGAAACTGAGTTTTCTAGGTCCTTTGCAGGCTAACATCTTGGGTCCTTTCTGACTCCAAAATCCTGTGCATTTTCTTGAACTGGGACTCTTGTAAAGTAGAGAAACAGAGGCTGAGAGGGGAAGGTGCACACCCAGGTCACCCAGGGAGCCACCTGGCTGGGCCACCAAGCCCTGCCTCCCTAGCCCACACCCCTGTCACCAGGGGGAGTCCCGGAGCCTCTGACCTCAGCTCTGGAGGAGCTGCAGCAGGATCTCCCATGACCTTGGTTCTTGGTCTGGGCACTGCCTGGCCACAGATGGCTGCCCTTGGGCCCCTCCACCCGCCTCTGTCCTTTGTCGAGTGGGTGAGGAGGAGGCCAACCTCAAAGGGCCTTTGTGAGCCTGGTGCAGGGGAGGCGGCGGACTCTCATGCACTCTGCCCCTACCGCCTGCTTGCTGCCCCGTCCTGACCCTCTCCTCCCTCCCTCCAGCCCTCACTGGGATGGTGGATGGCAGGCCAGGGAGAGAGGAAACGTCAGGAGTCGCCTGCCCTCTCTGAGCCCCTTTGCATGTTCCGACGTCCCCTCTCACTGCCTCTCCGTCATGGCCGCCTTCACTGCATGCCTGCAGGTTTCCCTAGACCCGAAAGGGGGGGTGGGAGAGAAGCAGGGGTGACAGCCTTGGACCTGGCAGTGGTGACAGTGAATGGCGTCTGGTGCAAGGTGCCTGCGGGGGG